TGGGGAAGCCCAATAACCGCTGTACTGCGCGCACCAACCTTGCGCATTACCTCAGTGAGTAAAGAATGAATTTATTGAATTGCGATATATATACTCACAAAAGTAGCAATAGTAAAAGCATATAAAATCCAACATCAGCGCACTGAAATAGCAGACACGTGCGGGCCCCATCGAGCCTCAGGATGAACTGACGCGTTTCAAAGGGGGATCCCTTCTTCCTCAGAGTTCTGAGGCTTTTGTGAGTATATATCTCAATTCAATAAATTCACCCTCTACTCACTGAGGTGAGGCGCTCTAGTTTTTGTTCTTTGTTACAGCCTTTCCAAAAAAACGCAGCGGATGACAACTCAGAGATGTGAATGTGTCCCATAGGGAATCATGTTAAATGGACTGTACTGCATTTCTGGAAAACGCTTAGATGTGAACCTGGGCTAAAGACGGTTTTTCCTTTTCACTGCAACTGCAAAGATCTAAATGTTAATACAATTACTAGAATAGAAACTTGCATTTAATAAAAGGAATTTTTTTTAATTGCCAGGAAAAGTGTTATTTTAAGAATGCTTCAAACTTGGTTATTTACGACGCGGAGGCAGCTGGCGGCGCCCCTGCTGGGTTTGGCACGCGGCCGTGTTGCGGTGACGCGTGCAGATGGCAGAGCAGACTGTGTTGTAGTATTCTTCATTTCACAGTTTCTCTTTATGTACGCAGATTGTGACGTGCTCCTTGCACAGACGGGCTCGCACCATATATTCCTCAGTACCGTTGCCCACGTTGCAGGTTCTGTGCATTTCTGATTTTTGTCTAGCCCACTGTCTCTGTCTTTATCTGTTCTCCAGTTCTGTTCTAGAAACAGATGGAAATACCTGTGACACATAGGGTGTAATAGGAAACAGAGCTTCCCTCCTTCTAGAACATGGGTGGAATGATTGACGTATTCAGTATGGCACAATCTAGGGGTGAGCTGGTACTTTTTAGGAACATGCTTCAATTGTAGGAACGTGGCTAGCAGTATTTAAAGATGAAGTTTAATCTGCATATATTATGCCTTTTCTGGTCCCCCACCTTCACAAGGTATATTTTCATTACATACCTTATGTTAGAGCCAGTGACCACATCACTGGGCCTCTGTGCTTTTCTATGCAATGCAAGCAGATCATGGCTGATGGGAGGGCCCAGCAGGGTGCTGTACATAGCTTCCTGAAAACATCACAGCTCCCTGCCTCAGTACTCCTTTCAAGAACGATCCTGATGCTAGCAGTGGGTTAGCTCTTGGGAGGAGATGTGCAAATATCTAAAATGCCTTCCTGGGTGGATGTCAGATTGGAGGTGTGAGTGTAGCTGGGCAGGTTACATGTGCATGCAGACTGCCTGGGTAACACCCACATGTTATGCTGAGCCCCCGTAATTGAAAGAGCTGAAATCCAATTAATGAAAGGGAATGGCCAGGGACGGTCATCCGGGAGAGGAACGGCCGGGGACGGTCGGGCGGGAGAGGAACGGCCGGGGACGGTCGGGCGGGAGAGGAACGGCCGGGGACGGTCGGGCGGGAGAGGAACGGCCGGGGACGGTCGGGCGGGAGAGGAACGGCCGGGGACGGTCGGGCGGGAGAGGAACGGCCGGGGACGGTCGGGCGGGAGAGGAACGGCCGGGGACGGTCGGGCGGGAGAGGAACGGCCGGGGACATGGCCAGGCGGGAGAGGAACGGCCGGGGACGGACGGTCGGGCGGGAGAGGAACGGCCGGGGGCGGTCGGGCGGGAGAGGAACGGCCGGGGACGGTCGGGCGGGAGAGGAACGGCCGGGGACGGTCGGGCGGGAGAGGAACGGCCAGGGACAGGAATGGCCAGGCGGGAGAGGAACGGCCGGGGACGGTCGGGCGGGAGAGGAACGGCCGGGGGCGGTCGGGCGGGAGAGGAAAGACTAGATGACGCTGGACGTCCTCCAACCAGGAAATGAGGTGGACTCTGTCTGACTTGTTGCAGCTTCTGATGCACATTGTGCGAAGCTCACAGTGTGCAGTAAAATCAGACTAAGCAGTTTCACTATGGGAGAAGAGCCTGTAGAACTGTGCAAGGCCGGGGCTCCGATTTAAAGCTGAACTCCAGGCAGATATAAAAGGCAATTAATAAATGTATTTTTACCGCAAGCAGTGTAAAGATCTGAATTGAACCTACCATCAGCCTCTCGCTGAGCTCAGATTTCGAGAGGGGTAAACACCGCTAAGAGCCAGTCAGGTGTGCTGCAGTGCAAGCAGCATGCTGTTAGGAGTAGAGAGCGGAGTGACCGGAGGGGCTCATCAGGAGTGGGGGCAGGGAGGGGACCTGTAAGTAAAAGTGAAACTGCAGCAGAGAAGGATTAGGTCCCCCTCCTCTGAACAGGGCTTGTGCATACATACAGGCCAAGCTTCCAAAAGGTAATTTTTGCATGTATTGAACAGATGTAACAAATGTGTTCAATGGCATTTCTAAGGAGGAATATAGATTTCATTGTTGGGTTTCAGATATACTTTAGTGTTCCCAGTTAATGAAAGATGGACACCTGGTTGTTGATAAATCGTCCTCAGAGTGCTGTCTTCTTTCTTCATATGGGCTCCAGTTAGATGTATTTTGGAGACAACTGATGCAGAACGGAGGGGTGGGGTGGGATGGGGGGGGGGGGGGTATAGGAATATAAATGACAGGCAAAGATTTATCTGACATTTATACACCGGCTCAAAGTGTTAAATGGAAAGATGAAGGTAATGGAGCTGAACGGAGGCTAATTACTGGGATGCCATGGCTTTCTATTAGCGAGGCTCAGAATGCAGACTCAGCATGTTGTGCCTGTATTACGCCATACAAGGCGCAAATTAAAGTTGGCGTTTCATGAACCAGGACCCCCTGATCCACCGAAGATATGGACGGTGTGTCCGTACTCCATAGCATCGTACATGCTGAATTACTCTGGGCATGTCAATCACGGAGCCGATTGCATTATTCAGGAATTTTTATTAATAGGCAGCAAGTATAGTCGTCTGGCGGACCGATCATTCTGTCTAGGAAATGCCTGGAAAGTTTTTGATTTTCCCTTAGGCCTCATTCACATATAGATTTTTTTGAAATGCACTTTTTGTGCAACACGCAAAAGGCAGTCCATAGGTTTCAATGGGCTGGCCTACATGCAACAAATGCGGCAAAGTTGCTCATGGAGCTTTTTTTTTTCACATGCCAGTTTGCGCAGTTTATATTATGATTTTTGCGCACAGTAAATGTGCATTGGCTTGCCGCGTTTGGGGTGCCATTATCAATGGCACAGCAAGTGTGGTGCGTGTTTTTGTGCCTTTTTCACGCGTTCTGGGAACCCACAAATGTGAATAGTCTCCAGGGTTTGTTCAATCAGCAAGCATTGGGCTCATTAACTCCAAGCTGCGTCGATTGGCTAGATCAGTGGTCGTCAGCTTATGAGGTATAGGGACCTCAACTGTGGCCCCAACAGCTCCAAAGGGCCTCACATAATATTAAGTATATGGCAGATGACTGTCAGAGACTTCAGACATATTAAAGGAAATGATCAGAGATAGTGAACATGCAGCTGGTATGGTTGGGGACTGAAGACATGCTCCAGGAGACAGTCAGAGACTGGGGATGTGTTACATGAGACTGCTAGAGTTCACTGATTGCATCCATGAATGCTGACATTACTGACTGTTGGGTAAAGGGCCACAGGTTGAGCACCAGGGAGCTGGATCAATGCAGGTTTAGACTGGGGAGGTGGTACATGAGACTGCTAGAGTTCACTGATATTACATTCATGAATGATGCCATTACTGACTGTTGGGTCTGTAAAGGGCCACATGTGGCCCTCTGGCCGCAGGTTGAGCACCAGGGAGCTGGATCAATGCAGGCTTGGACTGGGGACATGGTACATGAGACTGCTAGTGTTCACTGATATTACATCCATGAATGATGTCATTACTGACTGTTGGGTCTGTAAAGGGCCACATGTTGCCCTAGGGCCATAGGTTGGGCACCAGGGAGCTGGATCAATGCAAGCTTAGACTGGGGACGTGGTACATGAGAGTGCTAGAGTTCACTGATATTACATCCATGAATGATGCCACTACTGACTGTTGGGTCTATAAAGGGCCACGGGTTGGGCACCATTAAGTTGGATCGATGCATGCTCCATGCTGCCATTACTCACTGTTGGGTTTGTAAAGGGCCACATGGGCTCTGAGGAAGAGGCAAGTCCTCGAAACGCGTCAGCCTATTGGATGTCTACACTTCCTATTGCAGAGTCACATAGCGCGGTGTTGACAAAGCTGTTCTTTTATGACGTGCCTTTGACTTTATGGTCGTTTGTGAGAACAACACCTATTTTTATTTCTTATTAAACATTTATTATGGTAATGCAGTAGGCCCGTGCGCCCTCTGTTTGTTCTTTCTTCAATCAGTATATTTAGATTTCTCCGTTCTTTTGAGGGCAGCAAGGTGTGCATATTCCAGAACATTCATGATGTGATTCTAGCCTACATTGAGTCCATCCCCAAGCGCAGGAGCATTTGTGTTTCATAGTACAGGAGATGACTAGAGACTGCGGACATATTACAGGAGATGACTAGAGACTGCGGACACAGTACAGGGGATGACCAGAGACTGCGGACACAGTACAGGGGATGACCAGAGACTGCGGACACAGAACAGGAGATGATCAGAGACTGCGGACACAGTACAGGGGATGACCAGAGACTGCGGACAGTACAGGAGATGACCAGAGACTGCGGACACAGTACAGGGGATGACCAGAGACTGCGGACACAGTACAGGGGATGACCAGAGACTGCGGACACAGTACAGGGGATGACCAGAGACTGCGGACACAGTACAGGGGATGACCAGAGACTGCGGACACAGTACAGGGGATGACCAGAGACTGCGGACACAGTACAGGGGATGACCAGAGACTGCGGACACAGTACAGGAGATGACCAGAGACTGCGGACACAGTACAGGAGATGACCAGAGACTGCGGACACAGTACAGGAGATGACCAGAGACTGCGGACACAGTACAGGGAATGACCAGAGACTGCGGACACAGTACAGGAGATGACCAGAGACTGCGGACACATTACAGGAGATGACCAGAGACTGCGGACACATTACAGGAGATGACCAGAGACTGAGGACACAGTACAGGAGATGACCAGAGACTGCGGACACATTACAGGAGATGACCAGGGACTGCAGACACAGTGCAGGGGATGTCCAGAGACTGCGGACACAGTACAGGAGATGACCAGAGACTGCGGACCTTTGGGGAGTGAGGAGGGGGGACAGTTACCCGAATTTGACAGGTACCGCTCCCACTTCCATGGAGTTGTCCTCCCTGTAGTCTTGTGGGACACGTGACAGGCCCCAGAAGACTACAGGTGGCCATTCACAAAGCGCTTCTCGCACATGCGCAGTGGGCTCCCAGCTGTGAAGCCGCAAGCTGTCACAGCCAGGTGCCCACACTGAAGATGCCGGGGACAGAAGACGGCCGGTGAACGCAGGAGACCGCTGGACCGAGGAACAGGTACGACCGAGGTGCAGGTTCTTCTGCACAGTAGAGCCGAGCGGTATTCTAACACGGCGGTGGCGGGAATACTGGTCCGGCTGCTCCAATCAACCTTTATTTTTGTAGTTGGTTGTCAAGCCTGAGAACACTTTTGGCCAGGCGTGGAGTCAGGAGCAGTTTTTTTATGGGACAAAATAAGTAAGAGAAATGCTGTTAATGGTTGACTTCTCATAGGAAGCCTTCCAGGCACAAGACTCGTTCTTTAGACTCATTACCAGGAGGTGTCCAGAACCATTACCGGCTTTTTCCTGACTGTATTCCCAGCCCACCAGGTAATGCCAAAGAAGGAATGCAGTCTTGACCTTTTACCTTTTCTATTACAACCCCTCCCACCCTCCCCATGCTTCTGCTGATGGAGCCCAACCCTGGAGGCCTTCAAAGTAGGAGCACATTGATTTATTGCCTCCAGCTTAGTGTTTATAATAAGGATAATGGAGCGTCACCTCTACATTGGCCTGCTCCTGCCACAATTCTGCTGACTGCCTCAATAATGCGATCAATAGCGCCTTTAGCACAGTTGGTGTTGCCAAACGTCACAGCGAAATCTCGCGCTTGCGTTAATCACAGTCCAGGGGGCTCTCCAGGGCTTCAGTATGAAAACAAGAAGTAAAAGCGCTGTGTAAATTGTGTAGTCCTTTAATCTTTTTCCCTCTCTTTTATGTAAATATGAAAAAAATCAGTTTGATGTGTAAAAAAAAAAAAAAAAAAAAAAGTGTGTGTATGTATATATTTATTTCAGGTACTTATACAGCACTGTCAATTTATGCAGCGCTTTACATATATATTGTACATTCACATCAGTCCCTAACACTCAAGGGGCATACAATCTAAGGTCCCTAGCTTACATTCATACATACACATACTAGAGCCAATTTAGACAGGAGCCAATTAACCTACCAGAATGTCTTTGGATTGTGGGAGGAAACCCGCACAGGGAGAACATGTAAACTCCAGGCAGGTGGTGCCGTGGTTGGGATTTGAACCAATGACCCTAGTACTGCCAGGTGGAAGTGCAAACCATTTAGCCACTGTGCTACATACTATGCAGGTGATCCTTTCTCTATTACTAACTTACCAAGCCTTGTTCCACACTGTGCCTCTGCGTTGATGTGACCATCTTGGTAGAGGAGCAGGGCTTTGCTTCCTCATATCAGAGCTGCTACCTGATGATGGCTGGTGATCTGATGACTGGTAGGGTATTATTCATGAAGCCTCAGGAGAGGAGGAACAAATCCACTGCATAGACAAAGCAGAAGCAGGGAGATCTTGCACTACCTCTCCAGCAAGGAGAACATTGAGTAGTTCAGTAGTGAAATCACCAAATCTCACGAGAATAGCATTCAGAGGTGGCCGTGCCTTAGATGATCTCACACAACAGATATACAGCTACACAAACCCTTATAACTTATAACTAATGGGTGGAATGTTAATTCTTTACTTTTAATAAAGAGCTTCAGGTGCCACTGCTATCCAGTACTTCCAGCTCTATTGGATACTCTATTCCTCTCTGGACACTGTTGCTTCTCCCACAGGCCACTAGGGCACTTATATGGGTTCTTACAGTTCAATATTTTTTTTTGGTAAGGTTACTATAAGTCCCAAGGAATTTCACCACTATATTTATTTATTTATTTCAGGTACTTATATAGCGCAGTCAATTTATGCAGCACTTTACACATATATATTGTACATTCACATCAGTCCCTAACCCTCCAGGGGGTGTACAATCTAAGGTCCCTAACTTACTTTCATACATACACATACTAGGGACAATTTAGACAGGAGCCAATTCACCTACCAGCATGTCTTTGGAGTGTGGGAGGAAACCAGAGTAACTGGAGGATACCCAAGCAGGCACAGGGAGAACATGCAAACTCCAGGCAGGTGATGCCGTGGCTGGGATTCGAACCAATGACCCTAGTACTGCCAGGCGGAAGTGCTAACCATTTAGCCACTGTGCTGCCCTACTTTATGAGGAATTCAAGGCAAAAGGCAAATCTTTTAGAACATTGCTTATATACAATTATGCCTCTAGGCTGTCAAACTCATATTTATTACGGACCACAACAGCATTATGGCTGCCCTCGAAGGGTGAGTTGCATCTGTAACAATTGATATCCAGAGCACCACCCCACTCCCCTTACATCAGATTTTAAGAGCTTCCCCCCCCCCCCCAACCACCATCAGAGGTCAAGAGTCCGCCACCCTCCATTACATCATAGTGCGCCCCCTTACCTTGTGCTGCTGCCAGGAAGAATCTGAGGGTGGAGCTGGGAAGCAGAAAGTGCAGGGTCTGGGGGTGGGCTGGAGTCAGCTGCCGGATTCTGCTGAATGCTGAGACCAGGGGAGGCAAACACAAGGGGGTGAGAGAGGCGCAGGTTCTGTAGGAGGAGTTCTGTCCTCCTCTCTGCTGCCCACTGCTGAGATGGGGGGGGTGGAATGGGGAAGCAGAGACAAGCTGCTCTGTAGTTGCATGGAGAAGCGTGGGATCTGGCAGAGAAGTTCTGTCCTCTCTGCTGCTGAGACCAGGTCGGGCCAGAAAAGAGGGGGATGCCGCAGGAGAGGTGCAAGAGCCACATAAAATGGCCTGGCGGGCTGGATTTTGCACACTGGCTTTCTGTTTGACACGTGCTCTAGATGTTCTATAAAATCTATAATCTCTCTTTCACTCTGTTCCCTTCTCCTATCAGCATGCCCTTGTTAGAACATAAGCACTGCAGCACAACTGATTGGCTCCTTGTGCTGCCTCTCCCCAGTCTGAGCTACAGCCTGTAGCTGGGCAGTGAAAGGAGAAGCAGCAGACTAATGAGCTCATCTCTCTGTCATTTTGCTCTCTCCTCCTATCAGCATGCCCCTTGTTGTCCTTGCAGTGCAACTGATTGGCCCCTAATGCTGCTGCTCCCAGTATGAGCTCTCCTGTACAGAGACGTTAGGAGGCTAATACCAAGTCAAAGTCTGGTGAATATACTACTTGCTGCAAAAAAAAAAAAACAAATCGAATGATTAGTTTGTCTTTTTTATATCTGCCATGTGCAGGTTTCACTTTCCTGATTGCCATGTATCCTTTTACTGTTTATCTGTGTTGTGTTTGTACGTATCTATGAAGCCAGTAACAAAAATAGGTGATGTATTACAGGCCCCCAAGACAGATACGGCTGGTATAATTCTTCATGATATGGAACATCAGTAATAAAAGTCTATTTCCCTGGGGTGAGGCCAGGCCAGGATCATGTGTAGATGGAAATCCCGGGCCTTTCCTTGTTGTAGAGATTTACTGTGATGTCTACAAGCAGACCCTGGACTATGATAAACAGCACAAGGAACATATAAGTCATCGGAGCCCCGGCAGAAAACCACAGCAGATATACCAACCTTACAGAGCAAATGGCGCTTTATTAAAAGCCTCTTGAAAGAGACATCATGGGGATCAGACACAAAGAGCTGTGAGAATGGAGTATAAATCATTACAAATGGATGGCGAGGCCATTGAACTGCCAGTTTGGGGAAAGGAAGATCACCAGTGTCCTACTCTGCTTTCTGTATGGGAAGCGCTATACTGGCTTCGGGTCTAGTTTATTCTAATAGCTTATGTTCATTCATTTTTAACTCAATACATACATTTTTTTTTATGAAATACAAACTTTGTTTTACAGATAAACCTATAATGGTGTAAAGTAAATCACTATATATTCAATAGTAAATGGTTATTTTGAATTTTTTTTTTCTATTATAGGATTTTTTTTTTCACTATATAATTATGATACAGGTTTTTTTTATTGTGTTTAATTTATGTAACAAATACTTAAAATATTAAAATAAAATAATCCCAAAGTCATTATGGTTTGCGCATGCAGGGACTGTGGCTTGAATTCAGTGTTTGGGAGTCGTCTGACAAACTGTCTCCGGCCACTAGACCCAAAAAGAACAATCTTACTTTCATCAGTCCACAAAATGTTGCGCCATTTCTCTTTAGGCCAGTCAATGTGCTCTTTGGCAAATTGTAACCTCTTCAGCACATGTCTTTTTTTTCAACAGTGGGACTTTGCGGGGACTTCTTGCAGATAGCTTGGCTTCACATAGGCGTCTTCTAATTGTAACAGTACTCACAGGGAACTTTACACCTTCTTTCATCTTCCTGGAGCTGATTGTTGGCTGAGTCCGCGCCATTTTGGCTATTCTTCTATCCATTCCAATGGTAGTTTTCGCTTTCTTCCACGTCTTTCAGGTTTTGGTTGCCATTTTAAAGCATTTGCGATCATTTTAGCTGAGCAGCCTATCATTTTCTGCACTTCTTTCTATGTTTTCCCCTCTCTAATCAACTGTTTAATCGAGGTACGCTGTTCCTCTGAACAATGTTTTTAACAACCCATTTTCCTCAGAATTTCAGAGAGAAATGCACTGTAACCGGCATGTACAACATTTGCTGCCTTCCTTCCTTAAATAAGGGCAATAATTGCCACCTGTTTTTCAAAGAATGAATGACCTCACTAATAGAACTCCACACTGCTATTATTTTGAACATGCCCCTTTCAATTAGTGATTCAATTACACAGAATCAGCAGCATGCATGTCATGACTGTTGGGTCTGTTGGATTTCTATTACTCTACTACACCTGCTAGTAAATTATCTGCCATGTAGAAATATCATTTTCTACCAAAAACAGTGATTGATCAGGTTAGTGATGTCTGACTGCTATTATTTTGAACACATCTGTGTATGTATGTATGTATATGTGTGTGTGTGTGTGTGTGTGTGTGTGTGTGTGTATGTATGTATGTATGTATGTATGTGTGTGTATATATATATATATATATATATATATATATATATATATATATATATACTGTATATTATACAAACTTTATTTTACAGATAAACCTATATTAGCATAAAGGTATTCACTATATATTCAATAGTAAATGGTTATTTTGAATTTTTTTTCTATTATAGAATTTTTTTATTATATAA